TTATCAGTCCCTAAACAGGAGTCCCAGTGTGGTGCTGTGGGTTACTGCGCTGGAGTGCAAAGTCAGCTTGAACCACAAGGTTGGTGGTTCAAACTCACCAGTTGCTCCTCAGAAACCCTGTACAGGGTTGCTATAGGTCAGAACTGACTCAATGGCACTTAACAACAACAAATAGGAGTTCTGGTGTGGTGGTGTAGGATAAGCACTTGACCACAAGGTCGGCTTGAACCGCAAGATTGGTGGTTCAAACTCACCAGCCGTTCCTTGGAAGCCCTATACAGGGGCACTTAACAACAACAAACAGGAACATGACACTTAGGATAATTCATCTCGGACCGATGTGACCAAATCAAATAACACCTCCTCAAGGTTGAAAAGTTCTCAAATTCCCTGATTCACCCATTCCAGTTTATGATGTCTCAGTCAAGAGTATCTGTACACACACACACACACACACACACACACACACACACACGTCTGGATGCAGTACAAGCCTGAGCTCCAGAAAGGCCTCTTATTTGGTCTTCTATAACTGATTTTTCTCCTTTTCAAATTCCCCTTCATAGACTTGAAGACTGATAATAAGCATCTTTTCAAGTCCCAAGCATTCTACTCTTGAGTTCCATCATAAACCTTTCTCCACCATCTCAATAATTGTTTTTGTGACTGTTCCTTGGATCTCTTCCAGGTTTCATAAATCCTTTTGAAATGTATACATTGAAACTGGGCATGATGTTACATCAATGGCCTGTCTAATGCAAATACAGCACTACAATTGTATCTCAGTACTTGCATGATACACATCAATTAGAATGTTCGAGAATCATATTTGTCTTTCCAAATACATATGTAGTTTTGTTGTTGTTGTGTTTTTTTTTTGTGTGTGTGTGTGTGTGTTTTGCTGGGTAACATCCAACTTGGTGGTCCACTGTATCTCTCAGATTTTAAAGACCATAATTATTGTGTAGTCATGAATACATGTTGATGTGTGTTACTATGTTCTAAGAAACCATTCTGACTCCATAGCAATCCTGTAAATCTTTTTGGAAGCTAACAGCCTCACTTTTCTCCCAAAGAGTGGCTGATGGGTTTGAATCTGCAGCTAATAGAGGGCATTAAATACGTAAATACCTACTCATGTTGAGACAGGAGTGTGGTGGCTCCACATGAAAAGCCCTGGACTGCAAACCACAAGGTCTGCATGGCTTGAGCCTTCCATGGAAGAACAGGATGAGGTTTTCTGCTCCTACAAAGATTTAAAAGCTTCGCCAACTCTGTTACAGAGTGGATATGAGTCCGAACCAACTCAAAGGCACTTAACAACAAGAACATGTTGTGATAGGGAACATTCAAAGAAAATGGCATTTTGTTTTTTAGATCTATGTGCTCCCCTCTGCAAAAAAAGAAGAAAAAAAAGAGCATTAGCTCTGTCTTTGTTATCTAGTGCTTTCTTGCTGCTTTAACAGATATACCACAAGTGGGTCACGTTTAATAAACAAGTTTTGTTTCTCACAAGTTAGGAAGCTAGATGCCCGAATTCAGAGCGTTGCTGCTAGAGGAAGCCTTTCTCCCTCTTTCGACCCTAAAGGAAGGTCCTTGTCTCTTCAGTATCTGTTTCTTGGTCCCTTGGAGATCTTGTGGATTGGCATCAATCATCCCCATTTCTCTATTTGCTTGCTTGTTTTAAACTCTTTTCCATCTCAGAAAAGATACACTCAAAACACACTTTACACTAATCCTGCCTCATTCTAAACAGGCATAGAGGTTAGGATTTACAATACTTATTTGGGGGGGGCTACAATTCAATCCATGACATTCTACAATTTACCCCCACCCTCCCACCCAAATTTATGTCCTTGCCACATGCAAAACCCATCATTATCATCCCCAAAGTCTTAAATCAATCCCAGATTCAAAATCTCTGTTTCTGAATCATCTAAATCAAATATAAGTGGGAAGTTAGTTGGATTCCATCTTGGGGCAAATTTCTTCTTCATCTGTGAACCTGTGAAGTCTGGACTACAATGTGTCTGTTTCTAAAGTATAATGGTGAAACAGGCCCAAGATTGATCGTTCATAACAAGGGAGAAATTAGAGGGAACCAATAACAGGTACCAAGCAAGTCCAAACCCAGGGGAACAAATTACAGTAGCTCTCAAGGATAATCCTCTGTTCTCTGAGACTTGTGATAATGGCTCCGCTCTCCAGATTCTGGGTGTTGGCCACATCCTGTGGATTCTAGGTGGAGGCTCCTCTACCCTGGGCTTCAACTCTGTCTTCTAGACCCTCTGGTATGACAGCTCTGCTCTCTTGACTTTAGGTGGCCCAGTTTTCCTAGTCAATCTGAGTGGTGACCCAATTCCCCAGATCTGGTATGCCCCATTCTGTCTCCTGGACACAGCAGTCTGAAGCCCATGAACTTTGGGTGGTGGCCTCCTACCCTGACACACCTTGATGGCAGACCAACATTCTGGAACTGAGTTGGCAAAGATCCAACTCTTTCAAACTCAAAGTTGGATCTTTGCCAACTCAGTTCCAAAATGGAGATGTGGCCCACCCTTTAAAACTGAGAAGAAAGATCCTACCTACCTGTGTTCCTTCTATCAGTTCTGCTTATCTCTCAGTTTCTCCAAGGATGGAAGACAACAACTGTAGCTCCTTTGTCCTCTTTCCTGCCTATAAAATCCCAATAGGCAGACAGCATTCTTTCACTCTTTTCTCTGTCCCCTTCAATCTAATCTGATTGATTTTCTGCTGTGGTAGTTAATTAGATCCATCAGTAATAGGCTTTAATCTCTTTAACAAAAGATTGTCGAGCCACACCCTTGTTAAATACCCTAGGGCATGTGCCCTTAGTTTGCACAATAGAATTTTCCAAATCTTTAAATTCTGTTTGAATTTTGCACAATTAATTTTTAAATCCAACTCTTTCCTCTCACGATTTACTATAAGCAGCAGTGAGAAAACACATGGCCCTTTTAAGATCTTCCTTAGAAATATCAGTCCGATATCCAAATTCATCACTTACAAGTTCTACCTACCACTAAACAAAGGACATAACACAGACAAGCTCTTTGCCACTGCAAAAAAAAAAATCACCCTTCCTCCATTGCCCAACCCCATGTTCATCATTTTCTTTTAAAGCTTTACCAGAAGCACATTAATGTCCACACTTCTAGCAACATTCTATTGCTTGTGCCATATGTATTCTTTTTTTTAAAAATTTATTTATTTAAGGTTTTTATTATGGATTGAGTGAAAGTTTACAGGGCAGATCATCAGTTTTACATTCAACAAATCACACCACTTGTTTCATTAGAATGATTATAATCCCCTCCATGTACCATCAGTTAACAGTATTTCTCTCTAGTCACTTTGTTGTTGTTGTTGTTAAGTGCCGTCGAGTCGGTTCCGACCCATAGCGACCCTGTACAGGGTTTCCGAGGGTGTAAATCCTTACAGGAGTAGAAAGCCTCATCTTTCTTCCGCGGAGCGGCTGGTAGTTTCGAACCGCTGACCTTAAGGTTCGCAGCCCGATTCGTAACCACTACGCTACCAGAGCTCCTAGTCCTTTGTTGTTGTTGTTAAGTGCCGTCGAGTCAGTTCCGACTCATAGCGACCCTGTACAGGGTTTCCGAGGGTGTAAATCCTTACGGGAGTAGAAAGCCTCATCTTTCTCCCGCGGAGCGGCTGGTAGTTTCGAACCGCTGACCTTAAGGTTCGCAGCCCGATTCGTAACCACTACGCTACCTAGTCCTTTAGCTGTTTTTAAAAAAAACAACACTCAGGCATATATAATAATTTACATCTGCAAAGGGCACATTCTGTAAGTGTGCCTCCTGGCCACCAGCTGTTAGTCCCTCTCTTCCCATGAATCTAGAGTCCTCCCCATCTCCATGCCTCCATCTCTACCTCCGTCTCTGGCTTCGCTGCTTCTCTGGATATGGGTCCCACATTCTGCTTGTGCTCTTCTCCCTTGATCATCCTAAGGTCCTCTGTTTCAGGACTGTAAGATTAACCACACCCCTGTTTTTGTTACAAAACTTCTAGCTTTACAATTGTGACAGACGCAATTAGTCACGATAACAACTATTCACTATTGAATCATATGTATCTTATCCCCATCTCTTTTTACCAGACCCATCTAGACTGTTCAGTGGGGACTCTATCTTTCCCTCCATAGTCTTAAACTAAACTTCTGCCATATGTATTCTTTAAGATGATAGCTTCCTTCTGAGCTCCCACCAGAATTGTCTCTGACATTCATAATTCTAACACCAATATCTTCAAGACAATCTAGGCTTTTACTATGAGGCACCTTGAAATTCTTCAAGACTTCCAAAATTGCTTCCACTTTAAATATGTTAGAGCAGCACCCCACTCATGGTACCAAATTTTGTCTTTGTTATCAAGTGCTGTTATAACAGAAATACCCCAAGTAGAGGCTTAACAAACAGAAATTTATTTTCTCATAGTTTGGGAGGCTAGAAGTCTGAATTCAGAGCGCCAGCTCTAGGGGAAGGCACTTGTCTCTTCAGCATCCTGGTTCTTTGGAGATGTCCTTGTGTCTTGGCATCTGTCTTACTCATCTCTCCTCAGGTCACCTGTATGATCTCTTTTATATCTCAAAAGAGATTGACTCAAGATACGCCACCCTACATTAATTCTACCTCATTACATAACATAGACAACCCATGCCCAAATGGAATTATAACCACAGGCATAGAGGTTAGGATTTACAACTGTTCTTGAGTTTAAAATGTATATGATGTTGTTGTGAAGTGCCATTTGAGTTGGGTCTGACCCATAGCAACCATGTATAGGGTTTCCGAGGAGCTTGAACCACCGATCTTGCAGTTTAAAGGGCTTTGCAGTCTGGCGCACTAACCCACAGCGCCACATCAGGACTCTGTTAAAAATGTATATAGTATTGTATATCTTTCTCTTGCTCTGGATCTAGAGAAAGCTTCTCATGAAGCTCTTACATCTTTCTCTTCTAGATTGACATATTCGAAGATAGAATCCGTGGCATTGATATCATTAAATGGATGGAGCGCTACCTTAGGGATGTAAGTATGTTCCAAAATTCTGAGATTGCCTTCTCATGAGAAGGACAATTTGTTTGTGAAGTTATTTTTAAAGAAGCACTGTCCCACAAAGGCTTCCTTGTTGGAAACTCTCCAGAGACTTGGGAAAAAAGGATGGGGGTTGCCCTCCTGGACATGCACAGGCAGGAAATAACAGTCAAACCAGACACAGGTGGTTGATAACAATCAGAGCAAACAAGTTTTTGACCAGAATAGGAAAGGAGGAAATGAAGGTGGGTAGTGGGGAGGGAGGAGCAGAGTTCAGTTTAATCGGAGGCCACTCCTAGTGGGATTGGGTTGTGCAGCATACCACCCTTAAGGCTCTCACTCTCAGCCCCGTGATTTGTTTTCCACTGACAGAATCCATACTGGCCACTGGGACACTCAGTGCTTTAACAAGATAGAAATTGATTGCTGCCAACGTGTCCATGACGGCTGCTTCTTTTGGAGGAAGCCGGTGGGGGACGCACAGGCTGGAGTTTTGCTACTTTTCCTTTTGTCTGTAACCTAATGTTTGGTTTGTGCTGAAGGCTCTGTTCCTCCTGACTTTGCTAACACTGATACACCAAATGCAGGGTAGTCACGAGTGCAGTAACTGACAGATTAGATCCTGCTGCAGGGAGAGAGGAGGGGCTTCTCATCGCTGGTGCAGAGCCTTTTCGCCATGATGATGCAGACTCATTTAATGATTCACACTTTCATTACACATTTATTAGTGATGGCTGTGGAAAATGGTGGGCAAAAGCGTAGCTATTTAGGAGAGCTCCTCTCTGAGCCATTTGCTCTGTGTGTTTGATGGCGGGGGAGGGAAGGGGAGACCAGCATCTCTGCCTTAAGGGGGG